TAAAACCAGCTTGAGATCTGAGCGGGGACCCACCAAAGGGCAGGCTAATTGAGCTGTTGTCTGTACTCACCTCTCTTGCTACTTGTTTTTCTATCCTCTACACACTACATCGTCTGCACACATACACTCACACACTACATCCCCTATACCTACAGTCACTACACACACATACATACCATCTATAGCCCCCAACTACACACACTCACACTTTGTGATACTCATGCACACCACACATTACTGTAAGTTTATCTCTGTGGAGCTCTGATATACTCACACACCACACATTACTCAAACTCAAACAATTTAAATGAGGAAACCCCAGAGTTCCAAACAATCCAACTTGCAGTATTGTGTGGCATGGATTAGTAAGTATAAAGAAGCTTCAAAACTATAACCTTTGTGTTCATATGTGACACCTCTGTGTCTGGGGGGTGGTGATATGCATCTTTGCCTTTGTATCAATTAGTCCTTGCATGGCCCTGACCTCTGGTAACTTGTGGCTGATGTTATATTATGTCCTGGAGGGGGAGGGAACAGTGAATAGAATGGGTTAAGAGAAATAACTGGTAACAGCACTTTTTGGACAGAAATAAAAAGATGGCATTTCTAGCCCATGTTCAAAGTCTTTTTGGCATTTACACAAAAGTAAGCATCTGTGCTTAGTGCTTGACGTGGCAGGTGAACATATACTTTAAAGGCAATCAGAGTGTAACCTTTCCATTAAATGGCCATTATAAAACTTCCAGTTATTTAAATATGCACAGGGATTTAGGATAGTGCGCAGGTAACTTTTTTATTTTGCACCTATGCGCATTGTATGGACACAGTAATGCCAACAGACACAATGTTACTGCACACCCAAACACGGCGATTCCAACAATGGGTAGGCATCATTGCTTAGTTTCACACAGGGCATTCGAAGGCCTATCAATACACCTGTAAATCATATATGTAGCACTGAGCATCTCCTGAAGGAATAGATGGTCCTGTGGACCGGGAGTTAGAATATCTAGCCTCCATCCTACAGCCAAGGGGAGCTGCCTATTCTCTCTATTTATTAACTCTCAATCCATGTCCCTGGTATAATTAGACAAACGGAGACATATTACTGGCCCTTGGCTAATTTAGGGTCCCATTTCTCGTTACTATTTTTTCCTCTTTAACCATTTGCTTGCTGGTTTCTTTATTACTTTTAAATGCACGTTGATCATGTTATTATCTTCTTTGCTGTAGAACTTGTTTTATTTTAGAAATAACTTTGTATTTCTCTTATTTTAGTATAATGTGGTCTCCATACCTTGGCAGCTACTTATAGGACGGGCACACAGTTCAAAGCTGATGATGCATTTTTGGGGATTTGCACAACAAGAAGGTACGTTACAGATATGAGTCCGTTGTGGATTATTGTTGCTTTTGCCTACTACATTTAGAAGTCTTCAACTAGACAATTCACAAACAGGAACTTTAATGAGCTTCCTAACAGAGCTTTGCTTTTGCATGTTTCTGTGTGTTGTAAGTGATGGAAAATGTTATATATTTACTGTATGGCTCTGTGTTTGTTACTCGATCCATACATTACCCATTGATAAGCTGTTTAATTGTTTATACTCCTTAGAGTGAATGCTGCTTTGTCATTATCAAATGGTAACTAAAGTGTACTGTAAAAGTACAATATTTTACTGCATATATTTCTAATTTGTGATTCTCTGAAGGTTGACTTTTCTGCCACCCAATAATATATTGTTATGTCTTCTCCATTTTACAGGGATGGCAACATTTACTAACTGGTGTTAAGGAACGTCTAGAATGTAGCGCCACTACATTCCTGAATAAAATCGACAAAGACTAGTATATATAATAAACTACATTATTGCCAAATCTTTTTCTTATTTTGATACAGCTTTTATTGAGGATACAGTACGATGTAGCACATAAAACCATGCAGGCAAAAATAATAAAGGCAACACGTAGCAGAACATAGCAATATGACAGTGATAAGTATTGGTAAAGATACGGAATGACAAAACAAAACACAAGTATATACAAACATCATGTGAAGCAAACTAGGCATGGATAACAGCCATATGGAGGCCACATAACATTTTGTGGAACTTAGGTGCTAGAAATTCCTATTGATGAGCTTTTGTGGGTTTTGTCTTAAAAAAAAAAAAAAAAAGTATCTCCGAGAGTAAGGTATGCAATATAGCGGATGCAGTTCCGTAAACATCAAATCCACTTCTCAGTTAATACCTTAGAATGTTAAAGTATATGGTACCTTGAAGCAAGAAAAAGAAAAAATTCACTTAAGTAAGAATTAATCAAGACCATTAGCAAGGACAACAACAAAACAGTTCAAAGGACATAAATACAAAATACAAATAGTCTGGTTTTCAAAAGAATATCTAGAGAGGGAATAAGATGAATACGGATAGGTAGCTCGTAAAGAAACATAGTGGAAACAAGAAACATAAGGGTAAATATCCAGGCGCTAAAAACCTAATACATGATAAATAAAATGCACTTAAAATAACAGCTAAAAATATAAATCCAAATGTGTATTTTTTAAAAAATCCTTCAAATAATCTAAAATAGAAAAAAAATATCAAGCGCATTTCCCAACGTCATATGTTATTTAGCAACCAGTTCCCTATACTGACTTGCTTTGTTCTTTGTGGGACAATACTACATCTTTTAGATTTGATATAAAAGTATAATATTTGTCATTGGTACCACCAGCCCTGTGTTGTTTTCGCAAGCAGGGTTAGGGATACTTAGGCTATATATTTTTGGACTTTTATAGCTTCAATTGGACTTGCTGAACATATATTTGATACTTCTTATTATTTGTATTTGCATTTTATTGCAAAAACAGAACGGGACACATGAAAAAGGAGCAAGCGTGAAGATCCCCTCCGAGTGACCTGAAGGGCAAAACCATGTCCCGGTGGTCTCAAGGGGTCCTATACGAAGATCAAGCTCATAATAACACAGGCTTATTATTGATTCAGCCAGAGATTTTGGCGTCTCCTTTCTCATAAGGCATTTCGCTTCAGACATATTTAGTAGGGTAGCTACGGAGTTCCCCCACTCTAGTCCATGCAGCATTCGGCAAAATAATCGATCAGTGGGAATATTTTATCAATTTTGTTGTGGGCCCAGGGCCGGAACTCGGAAAAATGGCCTTATATCGGCTCAACTGCCTATTATTACCAAATCTCTTTCAACAGATAAATCTCTAAAAGATACGTACATTTTTCATTCTCTTTTTACAATGGGGAGTTACTGATCGGCTAAGAGCTCAGGCTTTAAGCAATGCCCTGTCCAAGATTTCTTAATTGAAACCTTGGATATTAAGTAGATGTACAGAGAAGGATGATTAGTTTTTGTACCTGTAAACCTGCAGGTACGCCAGCGCCTGGCACCTGCTAACACCATAACAACAATGACGTTGTTATGGTGCATAGAATGTCATTTTAAGTTCCAAATAAAAAGCAAAGGCATGATGTCTTATTCATAGGAGACCAGGACAAAGCGAAATGTTTACTTTTTGCCCAGTGCTACATCTAGACTTTAAATATCATGAAAGTAATTTCTATTAGATGAAATTTTCTTTGAGCGAACAAAATTACAAAGACTGACTGAGATATTTTCCAGTTCATAAACAGTACTAAACAAATATGTCTTTATGAACTCTATCCTCATAATCAGCTTTTCTTTATTACAAGCAATAATTCTAATGTTGGTTCAGACGAACATCTGTGTGTTTGTAGAAATTCTCCAGTGACGGATATTTTGTGAAGTAACATATTTGAAGATCAGATCTGAGAACTACCCATCCGTCATATAAAGCAGAGATTCATTCTTACATCTGTTAATTTAATGTATTCCTAGCTGTATAGAACACTGGCTGTGAA